ACACTAACATAATTAGGGCTAAATGATTTACAAATGATGGTTAAGCCCTCAAATGCCCTGGTATGGTCGAGAGTGGGGAGAGTTCGCTCTCCCTATCGAAATGCTCTCATATGGCCATGCGTATATAGCCTCTGCCAGCGAAGTCCTAATCACTGCCTTCTCGTGCCACAGGTGTTGTTTACGAAAAGCGAATATCCCGCGCCTTAACCGGATCCCAAACCAATGGTGCACATGGGCTAGCTCCAGTATCCTGAAGGAACAAATGGCGTATAAACCAATCGTTGGTCACCGGCTACAATGGGACTGTATCTCCTCACGATGCTCCATTGCCTTGTGGGTCAGATGTTCAAGTCGAAGGCTCGCAGTGTGGCCCCCTAAGAAAACCACTTGCTTCGGTTTGGGCACCCGGGCAGTATCACAGCCCTTACACAAATCAATTGAGATTTGTGTGACGCATATGTATTTGGTGCCTCCTTGTACCAATATCTATGTGTTAAAATAAATAAATAATAATTGATGGTTAAAGTTAGGAATTAGATTTAGGGTTTGCATTATAAAATGACAACAGATATTTCACTAAATGGATCAATGAATTTCGCGCTAAAATCCAAGACCTATGATCTTATTCTTGATTGGTTCGTCCGAATATTCGAGTCACAGCGATAATGTCTTAATCTATACGAAATAGCCTAATAGGAAATTTTTATAAAAAGTCAACTTAAATGAATTATTATTCAAAGATAGATTCATTAAATATTCAATAAATAAACTTAATTCTACACGTTCAATCGTTGAGATCATAAGTCAATTGAATCTAGACCCCTATGGAAAACCTGGAAGCACTGAACGTTTGTTTCATCCCAGTATGGTACTCTTCAGCAGTCCGTTTCCAAGATCACGCATCACGAGATCCGAACACAGGACCTATCAGTCTCGTGCGCAAGCGTTTAACCACTAAATCACTAAACTGGCCGATATCCAACGATGTTAATATCTAACTTCAACCAATCCACAAAATTGAGCGACATATTAACTATTGTCTTCAGTGACTTACTATCTCCCAACATACACAGCTGAACTCCACTGGTTACTTTAATTATTTTTACGTAATTAAAAGATAAAACTCTTTCTGTGAGATCTAATCATCCTGAGATGAATTCTCTGTAGGATTGTGAATGTACACTGACAAACAATCCTATGCTGAAACGAATTAATCAACTAATGTTTCTAAACTTTTAATTATTTTCTAACTTAAACCTGTTTATGAGCTGGATGATTTACTCGTGGAGCTTTCATTGTTCTCCTGAATAAAATCATCAGCATAAAGTGAAGTTTGTTGTTTAGAAAAATGATCTAAGTTCGACGACCAAACCATCTAAGCTCAGAGAAGAAAACTCTATCACTCTTAAATAACTATGGGAAGATACTAGCAAACAGCACCAAATGTATTTAAAACTTCACCTCATTACACAAGTAGATGGCTATCAGAACTCAGTAGCTAAGTGAACAACGAGATGGCGTTTGAAGCGAACGATACTGATGTTCGAATCCCAGAATGAACATCAACTCTGAGATGCAAGTACATCCAACTGACGAGCCCCGAGTAGGATGAAACGCGCTTCTTGGATTGCACTGTTAGCCACTATCCATTTTCGCTTATAATGCTTTTAAACTAAAGCAATGCACACAGTATGTACATATACTAATAAGAAACTGATCAATCACAGTGCTGAACATCATTGAGAAGATTCAAGTTTGTGCTGATGATGTCGTTCAGAACAACAATAAAAGCTCCACGACCAAATCATCCTGCTCAAAGAGTAAAACTCTATCAAAATCATCCACCTGAGCTGTAAATCTTCTTCACCATCTCAAAATCATCTGAGTATAATACGCTTCTCGTTGTTTGAAAATGGAAGAATTTCACCAAAAGGGAGGTTTTCACTTAAGAACAACTGTATTTTCTTCATGAGTGTATTTGCCAGCATGTTTTACCAATAAGTGTAACAATACCATGTAAGTCATCATTATTATTACTGAATATTTACCATATTAAGTTACCAAATGATTAGAACTAGATCTATAAATCATTTAATGCTAAATCAATGATCTAAAAGTTGATCAGTTTCATCCTATTTGGTGATTACAAATTTGATATACATGAATCCTAGAAGTTATGGACAATTTGAGACTCGAACCTAGTACTTTTCTTTTAAAACTTTATTATAGTATTCACTTAGCTAGTGATTCCAATCTTTGGAAGTAGATAGGATACACATTGAGGAAAGTATGCAATTGTGTCACAGCGCAAGTCCTCACATGGAATTCATTTACTTTAATTACGCCTGTTACTCCTCGCGAAGCAGAATAGGCCACTCATCACCACTTTCCATCCAACCCTGTCCCAAACAATCCTTTTCAGCTCTTTCCAGTTGGAATTCATCCTTTTCATATCTGATTCTATTTCCCAACGCAATGTGTTCTTTGGCCTTCCTCTTTTCCGCTTTCCTTTCAGGATTGCAAGTTAACGCTTGTCTCGTAATGCATTTTGATGATTTCCTCAATGTATGTCCTATCCATTTCCATCGTCTTTTCCTAATTTCCTCTTTAGCTAAAAGCTGGTTGGTTCTCTCCCACAAAAGGTTGTTGCTGATGGTATCCGGTCAATGGATGTTGAGTATCTTTCGTAGACAGCTATTGATAAATACTTGTACCTTCTTGATGGTGGTTGTTGTAGTTCTCCAATTTTCAGCTCCGTATAGTAGAACTGACTGTCTTGACGTTCATATTGAAGATTCTGACTTTCATGCTGGTTGAAAGTTGTTTTGAGTTCCATATGTTTGTCAATTGAAGGAATGCTGTCCTTGCTTTTCCAATCCTCGCCTTGACGTCCGCATCTGAACCTCCTTGTTTATCGACGATGCTTCTCAGGTATGTGAAGGATTCCACATCTTCCAGAGTTTCGCCATCAAGAGTAATTGGATTGCTGGAATTCTCAATGTCAAAGGAGAAGAACAATACCAAAGAACACATTACACTGAGAAATAGAGACAAGTTTAAGAAGTATAAAGAACAATTGTATAGAACTAGAAAAAAAAGGCCTAGGACAAAGTGGGTTGGATATGTTAAGTTCTCTGACACTCTGCAGTTATTTCTTGTAGTGAGATGTTTGGGCACTGATCAATTTTGCTTAACATTCTGGTTCTTGTATCAGCATCTTCAAGAGGTTGTAGGCTACACACAAATACGAGGCACTTAAACTTGTCTTCCTTCATTGATGATAGTTTGAATCATTCACATTCACGGTTTATTAGGCCGGCATATTTTACCCAATCATCCTCACTTGACTTCGTTATTTCGCGGCATTGATAACGAATATTAAAGAGAGATGATTGTTCAGCGAAGATTTACGTCAGAGTTTCGATTGTTGCATCAAAAGAGAAATCTTTTGGATTCTTTGGGAGGATGAAATTACTATAACGTTCATGTTCAATCATGCCAAACTTTCTCAAGAGTATTCTGACTTTGACAGCATCATCCAGTTTGTTGAGATCGACTTTGAAACAAATCTTCATACTTCTTGAACCAAGACTCAAAAGTCACATCAGCTAGGCTATCAAAATAAAATTCCTGAATGGAATTAATTATCCAGTCTGTATGCGTATTACATGAATCATCAGTAAGACCTCTGTTATTCAGATTCATTTATTTCCTTAACATCTTCAGCATACACTCCTGGAACTGTTCATATCGTTTTTCTTGACATTCCAACAAAGATTCTATTTGTTTAAAGGTAATTGACATTATTGATTATAAAACCCATCTTACTTACTTACTTACTTACTTACTTACTTACTTACTTACTTACGCCTGTTACTCCCAATGGAGCATAGGCCGCCGACCAGCATTCTCCAACCCACTATGTCCTGGGCCTTCTTTTCTAGTTCCATCCAATTCTTGCTCATTTTTCTCATATCTATCTCCATTTCCCGGCGTAATGTATTCTTTGGTATTCCTCTTCTCCTTTGACCTTGAGGATTCCATATGAGGGCTTGTCTTGTGACGCAGTTCGGTGCTTTCCTCAATGTGTGTCCTATCCACTTCCAGCGCTTCTTCCTGATTTCTTCCTCCACTGGGATCTGATTTGTTCTCTCCCACAGTAGGTTGTTGCTAATAGTGTCCGGCCAGCGGATCTGAGGTATTTTGCGTAGACAACTGTTAATAAACACCTGTATCTTTTGGACGATAGATTTCGTAGTTTTCCAGGTTTCCGCCCCATACAGTAGAACTGTCTTGACATTTATATTGAAAATTCTGACTTTGGTGTTGGTTGCTAATTGTTTTGAGTTCCAGATATTCTTCAGTTGTAAATATGCTGCTCTTGCTTTGCCAATCCGTGCCTTCACATCTGCATCAGATCCACCGTGTTCATCGATGATACTGCTCAAATATGTAATGGTTTTTACATCTTCCAAAGCTTCTCCGTCAATTGTGATTGGATTGTTGCATGCTGTGTTGTATCGGAGAATCTTGCTTTTCCCTTTGTGTATATTGAGATCTATTGCTGCTGAGGCTGCGGCTACACTGGTTGTCTTCTCCTACATTTGTCGTTGCGTATGCGATAGAAGAGCCAGATCATCTGCGAAGTCTAGATCATCCAATTGCATCCTAGCTATCCACTGTATCCCGTGCTTCCCTTCAGATGTTGATTTCTTCATGATCCAGTCGATCACCAGGAGAAAGAGAAAGGGAGCCCCTTTCCGGGGGCTACTGCCGGTCCCAAGCCCGAATAAAGGAGGAGGGTTGGGCATGGGGTTAGCGACCCCATCCCGTAGAAAACTAACTCGCTAAAAAAAACGCTAACCAGAAAAACGCTATAAAACCCATCGGTAGACTATAATTCTAAGATACAAATAACATTCAATTGATGACTTTCAACATAAATTCAAAGAACATATAATCTATTAAATTTTATTGTTTATTTTTATTCATTCACTTACCTGTTGCTTTATCTTCACATATAAGACATAACATACCAGATTTAAGTATAGTTTGATTTTGATGTTTTACATCCTCTTCATCATCTTCATCAGTAATAGTTAATTTGATTTGAGATTTTATATGATTCTCATTTGAATGATGTACATGATATCTTTTTGTTCCATCTAAAGGATTAACATGATTATTACTATGATTATCATTATGATCAATACTACTATTACTATTATTATTGTTAGAAGTAGTAGGTATTATAGTAGTATCTATACTATGATTAATCTCTTCAATATCATATTGTTGTTCTTGTTGTTTTAATGTATGATTATGATGTAATGTGAATAAATCAACTGATTCATGATGATAATGATGATGAGGAGGATGTTGATGAGGATGAGGATGTTGATATTGTTGATCATTTATATAATATTGATAATCATTCGTATTTGATGTATATGGAAATGATGTAGATAAAATAGGTTGATGATAATATGAATTTATAGAATAATCTGTATGATGTAATGTAACAATAAGTTCAGTTGATGTTGTTGTTGTTGTTGTTGTTACTACTACAGCAGCTGCTGCAGCAGCAGCGGCGGCGGCGGCGGCTGCTGCTGCTGCTGCCATAGCTGCTGCAGTAGCATTAACAGTACAAGTAGTAGATGAAGCATTAGTTACATTATGATTATGATTATTATGATTATCATTTATATCTTCCATATATGATGTTGTATTATTTGTAGTCATTGAAGATGTATTATTTATTGGAACTATATGTTCATCTGTATTCATTGTATAATGTATATAAGATTGTTGTAATGAATTATTAGATGATAAATAATGTCTTTGTTCAGATGGATCAAGATGATTATGTTCATATTGATGATGATCATGATCATGATGGTGATCGTGATGATCATGATGATGATGATAATAATAGTCATTATTATTATGAATATAATTGTCTTGTTGATTTGTATGATAAATAGAATCTTTAATTGATGGAAATGTTACATAATTTGTAACATAATCAATTGATTCATCATTATTGATTGTTTTCTCATGATCATCCATTATAATATTAACAAATTGTTAGTTTATATATGCTAAGTTTTATAAGAGATAAAGATGAAAATGTATACATAATAAAGAGGAATGATCTTATAGATAAAAATCAATAAAGTACTTATCAGGATATGTTCATAAGTCAACTGAAGTTAAACTACCATGGAAAATCTGGAAGCACTAAACAGCTGTTTTGAACCTAATATAGGATTCCTTAGCAGTGAACATTCACCATCTCACCTCGAGAGATTTGAATCCAGAACCTTTCAATCTCACGCACGAACGCTTAACCACTACACTACTGAGCATATCGGCATCCAGTAGTAATAATGTCTAACTTCAACTGATCCACAAAATTGAGCGACACATCCATCATTGTCTTCAGTGAGTTACTATCTCACAACAGACTCGATTGAACTCCACCGGTCACTACTTCTCACTAGAAATTCAGGAAATACCTCTTGGAGGCAGTCATTAATGGGCATACGATGATTATTATCAGAAGGGGTTTTGTGCAGCTTTCAGTAATTTTATAGTTGAATTCATGATTTAAATGAATCTAGACCGCCATGGACGGCTGCTTCGTCCTAGTAAGTGACTCCTTTGCAATGCGCATCCACGATCTCGCCTCAAGAGATTCGGATCCAAAACCTGTCGGCCTCGTACGCGAACGCTTAACCATTAGACCACTGAGCTGGCATCCAATGGTGATAATGTCTAACTTCAACTGATCCACGAAATCGCGCCACCCTCCACGGATTCATGAATTCAACCTTTTAAATTAATATAATATCCATAAAACCCCTTCTGATTATGATCATCGTATGTCCACTGGTGACTGGCTTCAAGAGGTATTTCTTGAAGATCTAATGTGAATCGATTGATGAATTCATAGTTTACATATGATTGAGAGGGTATCATTTTGAAACAAGACTTATCAAATTTGGAAAGTTTGTGTAGATGAATTCAGTCCATAATGTGAATTAAATATAAGTTGAAATGTTTCTAAAATATACTACTTACTTACTTACGCCTGTTACTCCTAATGGAACATAGGCCGCCGACAAGCATTCTCCAACCCACTCTGTTCTAGGCCTTTTTTTCTAGTTCTATACAATTGATGTTCATACTTCTCATATCTGTCTCCATTTCTCAGCGTAATGTGTTCTTTGGTATTTCTCTTCTCCTTTGACCTTGAGGATTCCATGTGGGGGCTTGCCTTGTGACACAATTGGGAGCTTTCCTCAATGTTTGTCCTATCTATTTCCAACACTTCTTTCTGATTTCTTCCTCTGCTGGGATCTGGTTCCTTCCCTCCTACAGTAGGCTGTTGCTCATAGTATATGGCCAACGGATTCGAAGTATTTTGCGCAGATAACTGTTAATAAACACTTGTATCTTCTGGATGATGGCTTTTGTAGTTTTTTAGGTTTCCGCTCCATACAGTAGAATTGTCTTGATATTTGTATTGCAATTCCTGACTTTGGTGTTGGTTGACAGACTGTTGTTTCGAGTTCCACATGTTTTTCCGTTGTAGATATGCTGCTCATGCTTTTCCGATCTGCGATTTCACATCTTCATCAGACCCACCGTGTTTATCGATCATGCTGCCCAAATATGTAAAGGTTTTTACATCTTCCAAATCTTCTCCGTCAATTGTGATTGGATTAGTGAATGCTGTGTTATATATACTAAGTGATATTCTTTTTCGATTAATATGGAGTTCTGGAGATTGTTAAATCTTATTGACATCACTAACCACTGACAAGATGGAAGTAGTAGACAGATATTTCAGAGTAGTGTTGGACTCCTTAAAAGTAAGGATCAAAACCTGTACATCCAAGAATCGAATTCAGATCATTTTTGTTTCTAAAGCAAAAGCTTAACCATTAGACCACTGGACCAGAATCCAATGGTCTCTCTACATAGTTTAGTAAATTTAATTACATATGAATTCAACTGTTAAAATTAATACAATCTCCACAAATCCTCATTCTGATTATTATCATATTCTTACAAGTGACTAGTTTCAAGATGAATTTCCTGGAGTTCTAGTTAGAAGTCGTGATCAGTAGTGTTGAATTCTTGTCGGATGTGAGACAGTTATCCTTTTCAGACAATATATGAAGGGTTGTGTATGATTGTGGATTGATTGAAGTTAGATATTAACACTGTCAGATGCCAACTCAGTAGAATAGAGCTTAAGCGTTTATGCGTGAGATCGAAGGCCTTGGGTTCGATTCTTATATCTGAAATCATGGATGCTCTCTACTGAAGAGTCCGATACTAGAACGAAACGTCCATCAAACGCTTCGAGGTTTTCAATGATGGTCTAGCTTAGACCAACTCATCAATTCAACTGTTAAAATTAATACAATCTCCACTAATCCTCATTCTGATTAATACCATGTGCTCAAAAGTGACTAGTTTCAAGATGAATTTCCTAAAGTTCTAGTTAGAAGTCGTGATCAGTAGTGTTGAATTCTTGTCGGATGTGAGACAGTTATCCATCTCAGACAATAGATTTAAGGTTGTACAATATTGTGGATTGATTGAAGTGAGATATTAACACTGTCAGATACCAACTCATTAGAATAGAGCTTAAGTGTTTTCGCACAGGGTTCAATTCCTATATCTGGAATCATAGATGCTCTTTATTGAAGAGTTCAATACTAGAACAAAGCGATGATCTAGTACTTTTAGGTTTCATCTGTTACAATAAAAGAATCATTAAATTAACTCAAAATTATTATTTAAAAAAAAAAAAAAAGAATAAATTAGATTAAAGATCATAAGTCATTGTTACATCAATATGGTATCATGGAATGAATCAAACATTGAATGATCAATGTTTATATACATATTGAATTATAATAATAAGCATATCACTTTAAAAATAGAAAGAATAGACAATAACATATAGATATAATAGAAAGTTATAATAGTTGAAATCCTAAATAAATTGAAAGTAGACTATCATGAAAAACCTGGAAGTACTAGACGATCATTTCATCCTATTGTGAGATTTTTCTTTGGTAGTGCATATCCATGATCCTGCCTTGTGAGACTCGAACCCATGATCTATCTGTCTCATGTGTGAGTGATTAATTACTAGACTGGTATCCAACGATGATTATGTCTGAGAATAGGAAATGTTTAACTTTGGAATCTAGAACTTATCGGTTAGGTGTATCTGTATCGCAGTGTCTATGAGTCACATTGCGATCTGAGGTGTTTATATTTTAATTTAAAACTTTAACTCATTAATTATTTAACAACTGAGAGTTTAGATTTCAAGGTTAGTCACGCTCTAGCTTCAGTAAACATATAACAGTATCTACTAGACAAACTGATCGAAATGTGAATATCTACTCCACTTTACCTGTTCCTCTCAGTAGAGTATAGACTACCGACTAGCATTCTTCAATTCACTCTATCCTTGAGTTTCCATTCTAGTTCTAACCAATTATTATTCATTGTTCTTATATCTGTCTTCATTTCACGGTATAATGTAACATCAGCAATGGGAAACTACATAATCTTATAGATACCATTAACAAATAAAGAAAATTTTTTGTTACTATACAATAATCCATTTAGTGATTGACACCTGATAATCATTATTTTGTCCAGTGGATATAAATCTGATTTGTAAAAGTTTATACATTCCTATAGTTGGTCTTAACATTAAACTTAGTTTATTTATTTATTTATTTTAACACATAAGTATAGGTACAGGGAGGCACCAAATACATATGCGCCACACAAATCTCAATTGATTTGTGTGAGGGCTGTGATACTGCCCGGGTGCCCAAACCGAAACAGGTGGTTTTCTTAGGGGGCCACACCCCGAGCCTTTGACCTGAAGATCTGATCCACAAGGCAGTGGAGCATCGTAAGGAGATGCAGTCCCATGGTAGCCGGTGACCAACGATTGGTTCATACGCCATTTGTTCCTTCAGGATACTGGAACTAGCCCATGTGCACCATTGGTTTGGGGTCCGGTTAAAGCGCCGGACATTCGCTTTTCGTCCTCTCATTTTCGTAAACAACAGTAATGCCACGAGAAGGTAGTGAGTAGGATTTCCCTGGCAGAGGCTATATACGCATGGCCACGTGAGAGCATTTCGAGAGGGACAGCGGACTTTCCCCACTCTCGGCCGTACCAGGGCATTTGGGGGAATTAAACTTAGTAGTTAACTGGGAAGAATGTTGTCTCTTAATATGATAGGTAATGAATATGTGTCTTGATATGTATATCAACACTGGAATGTAGATGAGTTCCACGCCTAACTATTATTCATTTTCAATCAAATTTACGATAAAATAACAATATAGAGGATGTCTGTTTAAGATGTAATTTGACAAATAGTGACTAGTCAATTACGATTCTCTTGATTAATAACTGGGATATACGAATTCTTAAAAAAATATCGTCGAGGGGTAGTGGTGGTGGTGGTGGTGGTGGTGGTGGTGGTGGTGGTGGATGAGTGAGTGTTACTCAGTTATACGCAGAGTGTAACCTAACAGATCTGTATATCGGTTCTAGTTGCCAGTATAATATTTGTTACATCTAATGGGGGGATGTTAAGAAATCTTTAACTTTAACATTATTCTTAGGGCGAATCATTATCTTCATTATGTAATTATCAGATAATTGGCTCTTTTTACTTTTTACTACTATTTAATTATCAGAAGTGGTTTTTTGTACGGTGTATGGTGGCGCGATTTCGTGGATTGGTTGAAGTTAGACATTAACACCGCTGGATACTGGCCAGCTCAGTGGTCTAGTGGTTAAGCGCTAGCGCGCGAGACTGATAGGTCTTGTGTTTGAATTCCGCGAGACGGGATCGTGGATGCTCACTGCTGAGGAGTCCCATACTAGGACAAAATGGCTGTCAGTGCTTCCAGATTTTTCTTGGTGGTCTAGATTCAATTGACTCATGGTTTCAACTATTGAGATTACTATTTAATTACAGTTAATTAGTTCATAAACTCTTATTCCATTC